TATCTGTTAAAGGGTTTTCTTTTATATTCTAGAATGGGGAATCCTCTCATGTTTTGAGAATATTTGATGAGGAAGCCCAAGCAATGCATTCAGTTCGTAGCTCATCCAGAATGCTAGAAGAAACTTATGCGACTGGTGTTGCCATTCTTTCAAAGTATAGTGAGCAAAGGGATCACTTAAAGGTATCCTTATAAAGCACCTACCACATAGAAACATACAGATGCATCATGCATGCATGCATAAATACTTGTGCATATAGGTTTACACAAAATATTGTGTTAAAAAAGTGCACAAATGAAAATCTTTGCATGTGGTTGTAAAATTCCACTGGCACACGTTTTATATAAATGACATTTACAGTCTCAGACTTGTGCTACTTGGTTGAAGATCAGGGCACAACTTGAATTAAACTATAAGAGTTGAATATGAACATTCTAATAACACTGTGAGAACGATTATGTGGATATGGTTTAAAACTTTCTTGCATGCGTTAGAATGAGTGTTCTGTGTACGTAGCATGATAAGGGAGTTAATATTTACTCATGAAAGAGGGTAGGGCAAATGCTACGGAAATATCCATAGGAATCGGCTAAAACATTTGCACCATCTTGATAGGTGATATTCCCTCTATCCCAGAAAGAATGTTAAGAGTTTCTATATTTACACGCCCCATTACACTTCTCCTCTAAAGCTTAATCAGTGGCAACAGAGGCTGTGGGTTAGTTCTGGAAGAATGATGCAAATTGTTGTTAATTGTGCGTTTTCAAATCTCTATAAATGTTCGAACAATGTGATCTTTACTGGGATGGAGGGTCTGTACAAAAAATGAATTTATTGACATGTATCCGCAATTTCAAATGACTTGCTATTTTTAAAGAGTATATTCTACAAGTTAGAAAGCATCTATAAATTCGAGATTAAAATTTTTTAAGAACTCCAACGGGCTCTTTATATTGAACACTTAATTTTACTACTTTCAAAAAATATTTATTATTTTTTTCTATATTTTATTTTCACTAGCTTTTTTCTAAATTATTATAATAGTTTCCTTTATTGAAAATTGAAATACTTTGAATGTATCAAATTATAGAGAGCGGGTTTAAAATTAACATTTAAAGAGTCTCGTATAGCATAATTTTAAGAGTTCACTCATTAAAATAGATGATATCTTATGTTTAAAGTGTCTCTTGGAGATGCTTCAAGTGTACTAATAGTTGTATCTTATTGAGAGTTTAAATGGCGGGTTTAGCAGCAAGTGTTAGTAATAACTAGTATTTTAAAAGGCGTAAAGAGTGGCTAGGCAGCAAACAGAAGTTTTAAGCTCTTACGAGCCTAAGTTAGCCTATGCGTAAAAAAGTGTAAAGTGTGACTACGTGGCAAAGCCGAGCTTCGCCTAGGCTGGTAATATTAAGGGCTTGTTCGGTAGAGATTAAAATGGGATTAAAATTGAAAAACTAACTGTTATTGTTGACTTTTATTAGACGAGTGAGATCCAATAACGGCTATATTTTCAATTTTAATTGGATTTTAATCTTTACCAAACGAGCACTAAATATGAAAATCAGTAAATATACTCTAAACCTTTTTAATATGATTCATGATCAACTTTTCATAAGCCGAGCTTCGCCTAGGCTGGTAATATTAAGGGCTTGTTCGGTAGAGATTAAAATGGGATTAAAATTGAAAAACTAACCGTTATTGTTGACTTTTATTAGACGAGTGGGATCCAATAACGGCTATATTTTCAATTAAGAATAGATCAAAATGTACAAGTTAGCACACTGGCAATCTTTCTTGTTTCATTTTAGAAATATCTTTGTAGCATAATCTGAGAAATGAAACCTCCTATACGTGGATAATTTTGTAAGACGAATTATTCATACTAATAAATTACTGGGTTTTCTTTGGTGCAGAGAGCTCAACGAAAAGCTCTGGATGTCCTTAACACTTTGGGGCTATCAAATTCTGTAATGCGGCTCATTGAGAGGCGAAATCGTGTCGACCGATGGATTAAATATGCAGGCATGGTTCTCACTATCATCGTGCTTATTGTCTTTTGGAGGTGGACAACTTGATTTTAATTCCGTCTAGTACTGAGTCACTATTATGTATTCTTTTTGCTTGTAACCTTCTAGTAGTGAAATGATGTTCATTCATGAAAAAGTTAGCGTAAAAGGACCAACTTTATGCCTTCACGACATTCATATGGGAAAAAAAAAATTGTGCAAGTTGTATGCAAAACTAGTAGTATGGAAAGAATAGAGTAAACGAAACAGTAGTTTGAAGTCTCAATTTGCAGCTATGTTGTTCTATGTATCATAGATTCCAATTTTGATTTCGTCAACCCAAACCAATTGAATTTTTTCTGCGATTCATGGATCTTTAGCGCGTGGATTTGATAAATGACTCGCTCCCCCTTGCTTTGAGATCAAAATTCATTTCCTAGCACATAGTTATTTACATTGCTGGTGAGTTGTTTGTTTATATTATTATGGACATAAACAGGATTGATTTATTCAACTTGGCACAGACTTTCTACCATCATAAATTTATTCATTAGCCGAAAAATGATGTGACAATTCCTACGCTTACACTTGCTTGACTTCTTTACACAACTTGCCTAAACGAGCAATGGTAAAAATGCACCTTGTTTTGTACTTCCTCTCATGGGATTGCTATATTTCATAGGTTAGAGGGGCATATCTGTCATTACCTGCCATTGAATAAGTTGCACATTTTCCACTAATAAAGGTGCAATTTGCAGTTTCACGAGGGAACAATTGTTCACTTTTTTTTCCATATTTTTCCAAATTCCGTAATCTGCAAGTTGCACGGATGTCAGCTTGTTTGGCTAAAGCTCAAAAGTTGGGAAAAGTTACTCTTTTCTAATTTTATTTATTTTTATTTTTTTGCATCTTGGCGTAGTTGTTGCACTAATTGTAGCAAGAGTCCACAATTTGTGTTTGTTGTTGCATTTGTGTCTTTATTTATTTTTTGTTCTATTTTTATTCTCAATTTTTCATTAATTAGTATATTTTACGTCTCTGATGATAGTTTATGTCCAATATTCAATTAACGTATTTTAAAATGATGGGTAAATTCTTAAATGTAATATTTAAAATGATATAAACCTCGAGAAAATACGTGGATTTGAGTAATTTCTTTATAAAAAAATTTGTACACGTATTTAGAGAAAGATATGAACGAATACATATACGTAACTCACTAACATTTGTCCAACAGCTCTAACATTTATACGAAAGAATTATGCTACTTGTACATCACCCCTTACACAAGGGGTGACATAATGCACAAGTGGTCCCTCCTCATTGGAGGGGAGCAGAGTGGAACAATTGTTCACTTTTTTTTCCTTATTTTTCCAAGTTCCGTAATCTGCAAGTTGCACGGATGTCAGCTTGTTTGGCTAAAGCTCAAAAGTTGGGAAAAGTTACTCTTTTCTAAATCTTGGCGTAGTTGTCGCACTAATTGTAGCAAGAGTCCACAATTTGTGTTTGTGGTTGCATTTGTGTCTTTATTTATTTTTTTTTCTATTCTTATTCTCAATTTTTCATTAATTAGTATATTTTGCATCTCTGATGATGGTTTATGTCCAATATTCAATTAACGTATTTTAAAATGACGGGTAAATTCTTAAATGTAATATTTAAAATGATATAAACCTCGAGAAAATACGTGGATTTGAGTAATTTCTTTATAAAAAAAGTTGTGCACGTATTTAGAGAAAAATATAAACGAATACATATACGTAACTCACTAACATTTGTCCAGCAGCTCTAACCTTTATACGAAATAGTTAATACGTACAAAGAGATAGAGATACTGAAGAATAAAGAAAAGAAAATTGTTGTCCCAATGAGAAATTCACAGCAAAGCCAGGTGTGGCTCTATGGCGTCATTTCAAATTGAACACAAAGTGGCTAAATGACACGACACACGATTACTGTATGGTATTCAAACTTCGAAAAACAGTGGACTTTTAGTTAGTTGTTTTCTGCTCAATCTTAGGGGCGGATACAAACTGCCCCCTACCCCTTTCTAACTAGTTTTCCTCGTATTCTCCCTGGTACACAGTATTCAACAAGATTATTCTCCTTTCGTACGCAATATTGAACACGATTATTCTACTTTAGTACGCAGTATTGAATAAAATTGAATAATATAATATATAAATTATGACTTATGTAATGTATACGAAACCATGTACTCAATATGTTTAAAATACTTAAATGACAGTTTTCGTTTATTCGTTTAAAACTCAAATGAACACATTTCAACCGGGATGGAAGCACAAGGGGCTCGTGTGAAAACTCCACAACATTTTGAAATTTTCATTAATTTTTTTAAATTTATATAAAATACATATATATTTTACTCCTTCAACATTTTACACTTGCCAATATGAAAATCTGACTCTACTATTGCATTTCAAAATTGATATTCTCATACAAGCTCATGCAATAGATAATAAAATTTGATAAAATGTATTATTAAAAAAATTGAGAATTACATTTCAAAAAGGACTACATCTCTTCAATATAAAATAATAAATTTAAGATTTTGAGGTGAAACTCCGGATAATTACAAACATTCTACGATTCTACTCAATATTTCTTTTTCACTCCATGCAGATATTATTATCCACTCTTCCCATAGCCCATGGTTTTTCTCTCTCCCTTTCTCTCTCTCCTCCCACCTTGCTTATATCCATTCCTATATGTTGCTCTTTTCACCAATCCCACCTACAATTTTCCTCTTGACTTTTTCCTTTAAAGTTCCCCACTAAAATCTTCATAAAAAATCCTATTATATCAGACCAAGAGCAAGATCAAGAAAATTTCAAAAGAGAATATCTGTTTTCACACACACACAACACATTTATGTATATATCTCTTGCATGCAAAAACAGTTTGAAGGTTAAAAGAGTTTCTTGATTTGGGTAGAGAAAAACAACCTTATATTTTTAAGTTTTGTTGATGACAATGGAGTCTGTAGGTCTGGTGGAGCAAAGGAGATCGAGTAGAGTTGAAAATAATGTTGAGTGTGTTATTAAGAAGAAGAGGTGCAAAAGAAAGGTGAGAATTCAAGTAAAGAGACCTGTGAAAATGGTTTCAAGGACACTGCAGAGGCTATTTGATTCATGCCAACAAGTTTTCAGAGGCCCTGGCACTGTCCCTTCACCCGCTGATGTGCAAAGATTGTGCAACATTCTTGGTGAGTAGTGCGTGTCACTTCGTCTAAAAATTTAAAAGTTGAGCCATCTCGTTAAGAGTTTGACAGTAGGAAAAGGCATATATTTGTTAGTGATGTCTAATATGTTGTTTTTTACACTTCTTTGGGATCTTTTTGGGATCCAAGGTGGATTGCTTTTTGTTCTTATTTTGATCCAATATCTTGAGATTGTTGGCTCAAATTTCAAAAATCCAAGAGGATCGGGGCTGTTCTCTCGGTGTTTTGTTATGAGTTTTGAATTCATTTTGGATTTTGTGTATGAAGGTTCCATTTTAAAATTGTTGAAAACGGGTTCGTTTTGTTATTTTGAAAAATTGTTTTGATTTGTCGTTTTGGGATTTATTTGTAAATTTTTAACTTAGTTTTCAAAAACGGGCTTAGAAAATAGGAATTCTGTTTTAGAAAATTGAAAATAGAAAACGATATGAGAACTTGCCCTTAGTATTTCAGGTATTGAATTTGGACTGGTTTCTCTATTGGAATTGATGCATAAACAATGTGAATCCCTGGGATCAGTCATACTTCAACTGTGAAACTATCTCCTCTAAAAGTCAAAGAGGCCGAGCCACTCACAATTTTCATAAACTAGTTGATCTCACAACACTTGTGCTTAGATCTTATTGAACTACCTCATTAAACAAACTCATGAACATATTTATTTATTTAAATTTCGTCTTGACTTTGATTTTGTTCTACATCCTAGGTTAAGAACTCTTGAAGGGAAAAAATTGAAGAATCCTTGCACCATAATAGAATAATTACCACAATAAGGTCTCCTAATTTAAGTTTCTTGAATTCCAACGGGGAAGAAGCATTCGTGTAGGCAATGAAGGGAAAAACATTGACTCACTTAGCTACTTGAAATTTCTTACTCATTTGGTCATCTGTAAGCCTATCTAATGTTAGGACCAAATCGACCTGAAGATAACAGTACATCGAACACATACAAAGTTTTAAACTAACCTGACAATTTAAGAAAGTGACATTTGTTTCTCTGACCAGTCTTTTATTACATGATTTTGTAGATGTTATGAAACCAGAAGATGTGGGGCTGAGTAGAGATCTGCCGTTCTTTCAATCTAAGAGTGTAGCAGTTGAAGAGAATCCTAGAGTTGCATCTGCTACCATCTACAAATGCCATAATTTTTCTGTAAGATTTCCTCTCTAGCACAAATATGGAACATAATATATTAAATCCAAGATCTGTCTTTGTAAAATTAACAACTACAGTGCATATTGTGAATTCAAGCTAAATTAGTAAGTCTATTCACTTTGTTCTATGCTTTCCACAGCTATGCCTTTTATTTCTCCCTGCAACTGGTGTCATACCTCTGCACAATCACCCAGGGATGACAGTTTTCAGCAAGCTTCTATTAGGGACTGTGCACATTAAATCATATGATTGGGCTGATCCCCTCAATTCTGATAACTACGATTCACCTTCTAAATGTGAGTTTTTTTTTTCCATCTCTCTTCTACCCCACCAATTTGACATGTTCGGAAAAGAAGTTAAAATCTTATTTATTAGTTCCAAGCATTACAGTTTATGGAACATTATCTAACAGTATTCTTGTAAAATGAGATATTGATGGAATTGCATGCAGTGAGACGGGCAAGGATAAAAGCAAACAGAAGCTTCACAGCACCATGTGACACTTCTGTATTATATCCAACATCAGGAGGAAATATCCATGAATTTACTGCTACAACACCATGTGCTGTTCTTGATGTTCTTGGACCTCCCTATTCCAAAGATGATGGCCGGGATTGCTCGCATTACAGAGAGACTTCATTTGGTGATTTGTCAAGTAAGAAACTCGTCTCATTTGGTACAATAATCCGTTTTAAGATTTTTCGGTCAACAACAGAGTATTGGAATCTGCTGCAGGAATACTTTTTCTTCAATCCGTATTTTAAGAACTGATGAACTACACATTGTGTATCGATGCTTCTATATCCTAGAAATGCCCAATTTTCCTCCCCTTCCGAACACAAGTAGAAATGTACATTTTCCAACTCTCATATTATGCGATGTGGTCGTCGTTTAAGCACAGCTAATATGAATAGGACTCTTGAATGCTGCCGCGTTACAGTTTCACGATGCTGGTGGAATTTATTCATTTGTGTAGAGTACGCAGTTGAAGTTCTATCAGCATCCAATTTTATACCTGAAATGCAAAGTTTACAGCTCATAATATGACTATGATAGCATGTTCAGACGAGATCGTACCTCAAACGTGCCCGAATCTCATACTGCATGAAATGCATGCAATATGAGTTATCTTATTTTCTATGCATTTCCATTTTCATTATTGTAGTTCTTTTTATTGACTCTCTTTTTGCACCCGCAGATAGAGAAGAATTTACGAAGGTAGAAGATGATGGCCATTGTTATGGATGGCTTGAAGAGATTGAAACGCCCCAAGGATCAGAAATGGATGGAATTCCGTATATGGGTCCCCAAATTGATGAATCTCATTCTTAGTATGTACTTTTTCTTCACAATAGAGGGCACTTCCTTGTTGGCTTAACGGCTCGTTTTATCCTTAGGTTTCCACACTTTTCCTTTCTTTAAGTTGGTAATTGGTTTTCCTTTCTCTCTCTTTCTTGTATATAATGGAAATTATCTAATTACAGTGTGAAATATATACTGTTTGGGTTTTCTTTAAAAAGTTGTTTCAATTCTTCTTGTTTGGAGCTGCTTTTCTAGAGAAATGCTACGTTTTTATTTGTTGAACTAACTAGTCAAAAATGTTTAATAGTTCAAAATTTATCATTAAGGGCATAACACATGCATAATTGTTCATAGCAAAACTTGATCCGACGACATTACGTCCAGTTTGAGCTTCATTTTCATTTTTTTACTCATTTTCAATCACAAATTCTTCAATAAAAATATTTTCCATCACATCAATAACTTTTATTTCTTTTTCAATCATATATTTTTCATCACATCAAAAACATGCACTCTCCTAAAAAAATGTGTATCAAACACACTCTATGGTACAACCTCGTCTATACACTTAATTAGATTAGACTCTTATGGCCTGTTTNTAATGGACAATTTCCATGAAAAATAAAGTCAAGCGAACACCAAAAAATCCAAAATTTCAACATTTTCCAGGTAAAAAATTGTATCAATCAAACACAATTAATTACAATTCTCAGTAAAACAAATTTTAGACAATTCAATTCCCTTTATTCATTTTTTTTTCACTCAAATTACACATTTGCAATCAAACGGACCCTTAGTCGGATTGCTCAAATTTACTAGTCTGAATTTTGTCTTTTAACAGTTTGGAAAATGCTTAAAATTCAATAACATTGTGTCCATAAATCTTATTATTTTCAATTTCACCAGTTATCCAAGATTTATTTGATGATTATGATTTTTAATCAAGAGTTGGCCTGTTGTAGGATATTAATCGCCATGTTTGGTAGTACATATTATTATCATAACAGCTCCATGTAAACCATAGATTGCGTGAGGATCTTACAATATGCAAGTCTTTACTCGATCCCCGTCCTAGTTTCACAATTAAGAAACTACTTAAATAGCAATTCTTCACATTTCTTCTCGTAAATCAAATCTCTACATAAGAAAAAACACCAATGCATTCAAGTGTCGATATATAATATTAAAAGTAATGACATGAATCCCAACACCATCCAAAGAAAAAACAAGCACTGCCGGTGAAAAGGGCAAAAAGAAAGAAAAATTAGGAAGAAAATTGCATTGTTTCAACAAAAGAGTACAACAAAATGTATGTTAAATTAACTCAAAATTTGATGCGAATATGGATTGCTGAGACTCGACCATATTCATGATCAACGATGAAAGAATTGAAACATAATAATAGCGAAAAGCATGCAGTGGATAAAGAATGTTCACAGCGCAGTCATCCCCATCCAAATAATTGAACGTAAACCGTTCTCCAGTCATTCCTCGTCCGAATAGTTGAACTTAACCGAGTGAGATTGCAGGTCAATCTGTCCTCCTCTATAGCTACCCCGCTTCTTCTTAGTTTTTTCATGTCGGAAATCCCTGTAAAAGAGAGAAGGCAACATCATTTAAACCCCTAGAGTATGTTATTTTTAAAGCACCACAAACCAGTGGGTTATCCCCATCTCTGTTGTTTATAACATGAATCCAGAGCCATCTTTGGATGGGTAAACCCAGCCATATAATGTTATTATTATTAACTTCCGAGCATGGCTATCAGCTAGTGAGTTTTGTTGGCTTTTTAATTCATGCATTTTTAGCTACTTTTTCCCAGTTCATCTCCATAACAGTAACCACTTCATTACATAATCTCTGCTCCATAAACATATTAGAGCCCTGTTTGGGAGGGATTAGATTTTTCTACAGTAAATCAATTCTCATTTTCAAC